ACGCTCAAGCCAAGTACTCTACCACTTGAACCACAATGTCACTCAGGTTTTCAGGTAGCTAATTGGAGATAAGAGTTTCATGGACTTTCCTGCCTGTGCTGGCTTTATGTCTTAAATAATTTAAGAAATGACAGCTGGTCAACTGTCCAGCCCAGAGTGTGAAGGCAGGAAGACTCAGTCTTGTGCTGCTCCACCTCTTTCCAGAGGATTGTATTGCTATTGTACTCTGTAACTGTGTCCTGACTACATAGACTGGCACAAGTACCTGACAAGACAGCTGGCTTTGAACTGCAATCCTCAGACCCCAGTCTCCTGAGGTAGCTAGGATTACAGGCCTGAGCCACGGGCACTCAGTAGGAATAAATCTTTCATGCATTTAAAACAGAGACATGGGGCTGGGAAGGTGGTTCAGTGGTAGAGTGCTAGTCTTGAGCTGAAGAGCTGAGGGACAGCACCCAGGCCTAGAGTTCAAGCTCCATGACCGACAAAAAAAAAAAAAAGACATTCAAAGATGTCAACTTTGGACTACGTTAGTAGGGAGGAAGAACCTACTACACTTAAGCAACTAATAACTTATAAGATGCTATGGGAACTTGAAAAGCATTATGTGCCTCTACAGATGGAGAGAAGAAAGAGTCCTATCTTATGAGTCTTAGAGGGTAAACAGTTTGATGCTACATTACCTGAGGTACAGAAATGGGTGTGTGTTTTTGGGCAAATATGCTGCATATACTGTTTCTATGGCCTTTTTCAAGGAAGTTGATTCTACCAGACGATCTAAAAAAAAAAGCAAAGTAATCAGCTCAAAACTAGTGTTAGGGGTGAGGTCACAGGTGCATAGCAAGCCATGACATCATCTATGGAAGAAGTCCTCCCGAGGGACTGCCTCAGAGCTCTGAGGATAAACATCCTCTTCACTTAACACCATGGTTCAGCATCTCTTATAACTGTGGAACTCTTATCACACAAGAAGAAAAGGGGCAATAATTTCTATCCTTCAAGTAGCCCAAATGGATTAGTTTTACCTTCACCAAGCTCCAAGTATGACCTCAGCTCTCAAATTTTTCATTCTGAAGAGACACATTGGATGCCTACCATACATGCCAATTGCTAGAAGATACCATGAAGGTGAATAAACTGATTCCAGCCCCAAGTGGTTGGCACTATTACAGAAATGTGTGTGTGTTAAACTGGCAGAGAAGAGAGCAGTTAACTTTGTTCAGGGAGTTGCAACAAGAGGGTACCATACTGAGTAATGAAGGGTAGGAGTGAGATTTCCAGAATTTGGGGCAGTATAAACATTTGAATTTTATGTCTTAGATAATTTAGGAAATGACCCAGCTGGTCAACTGTCCAGCCCAGAGTGTGAAGTAGGCAGGAAGAATCAGGCTTGTGCTGCCCCACCTCTTTCCAGAGGATTGTATTGCTGTTGTACTCTGTAACTGTGTCCTGACTATGTAGACTGGCACAAGTATAAGTATCCACAAGACAGCCGAAGTCTGCCTCTGCTAAGTCGTTTATGGGCCCTACACCTAGGTGAGCCTACACTTTGTGTAACTGAGTGGCATGCATAAGAATCTGGTTATTCTGTGCTACTGGGAAGTTGGCATTGTGAATAAGAATTTGTACTATACAGCTCCATCAGAAAGAGATACAGGCCAGTCAGATGACATGCTGATTTTTGCTTGTCTGCTCTGTTAGCCAAAATGTGTGTTTCAAAGCAGTTATCCTTCACAGTTAGGAAAAAAGTAATGAAAAACCATTTTTTCTTTTCCCTCCCTCCTTCCCACTCCCTTAAACTCCCTTTACTCTCCCTCCCTCCTTCCCTTCCCTTCCTTTTCTCCTTCCCTCCCTTTCTCTCTTGTTCTTCCTTTCCTTTTTTTCCCTTTCTTTTTCTTCTAGCACCTTGCTCAGTTTGCCCTGAACTGGTGCTCTACCACTGAGCCATGACTCAGGTCTGGTGTGCTGCTAGTTAACTGGAAATGGGAATCTTGAGGACTTTTCTACTCTGGCTGGCTTCGAGTCCCTATAATTCTATCTCAGCCTTTTGAGTAGCTGGGATTATAGGTGTGAGTCACCAGCACCATACTATAAAAACATTTTCTGAGAGGCTGGGAAGGTGGTTCAGTGGCATAGTGCTTGCCTTGCATGCATGAAGCCTGGGTTTGATTCCTCAGCACCACATAAGCAGGAAAAAAAAAAAAAAACATTTTCTGAGTCATGTATGAAACAAGTTTTATTTTATATTAGCTATAAATCATTCCTAATAGAGCAGAAAAAAAAGCTCTGCTAAGATAAGTAAAATGAACAGAACCTTGCTCTTTCCTTACAATTCTTGTATTACTTTGAACATCTGCTCTAAAACGTGTAATCTGAGACACTTAAAGTCACTTATTGCTATAAATGGAAGAGCAGAATATGCCATTTTCAATAGCAAACAAAACAAAAACCATAAAATTATTATGACGTGCTCGAAAGCAATAAAGATAAAGAATATATAAGACAAAGATGAAGCCAGGTACTCATGGCTCATGCCTGCAATGCTAGCTACTCAGGAGGCTGAGCTCTGAGAATTGTAGTGCAAAGCCAGCCCAGGCAATTAAATATCAGAAAACTGGATGTGGAGCTGTGGCTCAAGTGGTAGGGTGCTCGCCTTGAGCTGAAGAGTGCAGGGACAGCACCCAAGCCCAGAGTTCAAGCCCCACGACCAACCAAAATTAAATAAATAAATAAAAATTTAAAAAATTTAAAAAGGAAAATCTCAAGGGAGATCTCAAGGGCCTCAGTATTCAATTTCTTTAATGACGATGCCTAATGCCAACGATCTCTTCCTGTATATCCTGTTGTGCAATGTCCAAGGGTAGTTCTTGATCTCTGAAGAACTGCTTAGGTCCTGCTTGTGAAGATTCTAATGCCAACAGGTACCCTTTTCTGAGATCCCTCTTAAATTTAAGAATCGGACTGTAAAAGAATAAGCACACATCATAGGTCTGAAACAGAGATTTAGAACAAAAATTATAGATGCTTCCAAATCAAACTTTGGCAAAAGTTTCAATGTGTGTAATCAACCTGTGAATTAGAAGTGGGGTACAATGACTCCTATCTTTAATCACACTTACTGTGGAGGCAAAGATCAGGAGGATAGAAATTTGAGGCCAGCCTGTACAAAAAGTTAGCAAGACAGCAAAAAAAAAAAAATGGGCATGGTGGTGTGCATCTGTCACCCTAGTTATGCAGGAGGATCACAGTCCAAAGCCAATCTCATAAAAAAACAGGAGACTAACTGAAAACAAATAAGGCTAAAAAGGGCGAAGGCCATGGCTCAAGTAGTAGACAACCTGCCTAGTAAGTGTGGGCCATGAGTTCAAACCTTGGTATCACCCAAACCAAATCTCTCAATTAGAAATTTTTCCAGGGTGCTATAAAATTCTCTATGTATATACTTCCACCTAATTTCTTTTCACTTACGGTTGATGAAGAGTAAGAAAATGCACTTCTTCACAGAGTAATTTGCATTGGATATGTAGCCATTCATCTTGAAAGCTAGAGTTTTATCCTCACACTCAACTTCTATCAGCTCTCTGGTTAGAAAAAAGAAATTTTGTGGTTTTTGAGAGCATAGGAAAATTCAAATGATATGAGAATAGAGCATAAGCAGCTCTTTCCTATAAACTAAATTTGGCAAACAAGGAACACAACAATTAGATTCATTGAGATCCTCTGAATGTATTCATCCGTCTGTCTGTCTGTCTATCCAATTGTCCATCCATCCATCCGCTCATCCACTCAGCCTCCCACCTGCCTTCCCGTTCAGTCAGTGTTTGCCAAAGTTAGTCTAAGCTCTGAAACCTTACTCTTGTGAAAGTTTTGTATATTTCTACTAATTAAATCCCAAAGATTTAATTCCTTACTATACTGAATAGCACCACAGTTGGGGTCCAGTATAGTGTTCCCCAGAGTATGTTTATTGGGGAGGAAGAGTTAATAGATAAAGAACTAATTCTCAGATGAGCCACAATTATTTCTGCCTGAAGGTGGCAGAATAAATTTATTGGCAGTAAGTTAATCCCTATTTATCTTAAACATGTCAAGGGTTTCGTTCTTCAAAGAACCTTTTCTGAATATCCCTTTCTTTGACCCTAGACTTTCTCCCATCACACCCGGTATTTTCCTTTTGAGGCATCAATCACCATCTGCTAATAAATGGGGTTTCACTTTTCTTGCCCAGGCAGACTGGAGCTGGGACACAGGTACATACCACTAAGACTAGTTTGTTTTCATTGAGATAGGGGTTAGTTTGCCTAGGTTTGTCTTTCTCCGAGTAGCTATGATTACAGGAGTGGGCCTCTGGCTGATAACTAATTTTGAGTCCAAAAAATTTAGTTTAAAAAACGCTTAAAGTTACTAGGTAAAATGGAGCTCCAATTAAATACCAAAAAAGCCAGAAGTGGATCTAGGATTAAAATGGTAAACATTGAGCAAAAAAGCTCAGGGGTAGTGCTTAGGCCTTAAGTTCAAACCCCAGGCTCAATGCGTGTGCGTGCACTTGCGCCTGCACATGCACACACACCCCTCCCACAAATCTGATACATGAAAACAAGCCCACATATTGAACTAACACAATCTCTTAAGTACTATTTTGATAGATTCCAAAGCAATGCAATGGGATGATAAATCAAGGCAGGCAATACAAAAAATCTTTTTTGTATGTAGGTTATCAACATACCGACTAACTGCATTCCCAAAGATGGAGCGAATATTGTCCACAGTTGTGGCATTGGGTAGTGTTCTGATGTCAGCTACTGTTTCACCTTGCTGATAAAGGGAAAAGAAGACACAGTGACTTACTGTCTCACAGCCATGACAAACAGGCAAACCATTCATGTCCTTCTTTTTTCGTTTAATAGTACAAAAACATCCCCCATAAGTCAAGAACTTACTTTTTTAACTGAAAAGCTAATGCCTGAATTGTGTATTGAATATCTGAAAAAAAAAAAAAGAGGTAAGCAAAGATTGGCCAAATGAGCAGTAGTCTCAGACTTCCCCTTTTAGTTAAATAAACTAGTGAACTTATAAGAAAAAGTGATTTAACCAGATATACAAACAAAAACATCTTGGCACAAAAACATCTTGGCAGATTCTATTTTACCTATGGAAAGACATGTGGATGTATCAGTGTTAAATGTGACTTGGTCAAAGCACAGGTTCCTCTCTGCCTTACAGGCTGATGACTAGACTCAAGTCTCTCACCATCATCTGTTTTTTTCATGGTGTCTCAGATAGCCCAAGCAGACCTAACCTCTGCACTGTTCTACTTTCTCTTAGAGCCATCACTATACACTCTTCCTTCCTGCTTTTCCCTGGCCCCAATGTCCTGTTCCAGTAGCTCAAGTTTTTTTATGGTTGGTAATTTATGTATTACTCCTTTGTCTACCAAATGTATTTATTAAATAATTTACCACTTACCACACTTAGAACCAAAATAGCCACCTCAAACTTGATATATAAACCTGTGACATATTACTATGGGCAAATGTGGAAAGGTTAATATGTTCTCATTAAAATTCAAAACTGGGGGCTAGGAATGTGGCTTATTGGTAGAGTGCTTGCCTAGCATTCATGAAGCCCCAAGTTCGATTCCTCAGTACCATATAAACAGAAAAAGCCAGAAGTAGCACTATGGCTCAAGTGATAGTGCTAGTCTTGAGCAAAAGAAGCTCAGACACAAGGTCCAGGCTGAATTTAAGCCCCAGGACTGGCATAAAAAAAAAAATTCAAAACTGTGGGTTCAGAGTCCATGTTGAAGCCATTCATAGGAATAAATTCAGTCTACTCTGGCCTTAATAATGCTGCTTTTATCTGCTATGAATCCTCTTTCCTTCCAGTAGTAACCTCTAAGCTTCTGGGAAAATACCTTTATCCCATTCCATCTGTACTTTAAGTCTGACATCCAGGAAATCTCCCAGAGCTCCTAACACATGATTTTATGACACAAGCACACAAGCTAGACCAATTAGATACTCTCTCCAGAGCAGTCAGGAAAAAATAAAAACAGTAAGTGTCATGAACTTAAATCTTGGAAGTCACCCTAGTTCTTGCAATTATTCATACTTCTTCCTCCTTGGGAACTCTTACCCTTCCAATAAATTTCCTTTCCATTCAAGCTACTGGAGATCAGTTTATTGCTTGTTACCAAAGAACCTTGCTGATGACTGACTGTTCCTTCCTAGGGATGAGAACAATTCAGGATTGATGACTGAACCTTGAATGGATCAGTATATATAAAGCTAGTTTTGCTATCTGAATCTAGGTCACAACTTTATGTGTGTGTGTGTGTGTGTGTGTGCGCGCACGCGCGCACGCGTGCAGGTTTGCGTGTGTGTGGTGGTACTGAGACTTGGAATCAGGACCTAGACTAAAGGCATGCTCCATTTTGGCTTTTTGATGGTTAATGGGAGATTAAAAGTTTCACAGACTTTTCTGCTCTGGCTGCTTCAAACCACAATCCTCAGATCTCAGCCTGCTGAGCGGTTAGGATTAGAGGTAGAAGGCACTGCTGCCTAGCTTTTCTTAATTCTTGAGTGCTGGAATACTTTCCTTTGGTAACAGAGCTCAGAGGTCCACTCCCAGAGTTTAAACAGTACCTGCCAACAACTTCCAAAATTTTGCCGTATTCTTCACTTGGATTTTTTAAAGCTTTCCTTCTTGTGGTTATGTTGTAAAACAGATCTTCCACCTGAAGAGAAGAAAGATTTTCTTGTAAACCTATGGCTCATGCTATCCGCCCACTGTTGGTCTTAGGGTTGTAAATCTAACACAGCTAAGTACTTACACTTGTAAGTACTAAATGGAGGAGGGGCAAAAGACAGAGCAGCATTAACAAATGAGTTGAAAGATACTGCCTCTTCTAGTCATTCACTGATTTCTTAAACAGGCTAGCTTTTGTGTCATGCTCTCTGCTTTGTGTTAAGAATATGACAATAGATGTTAGGACATAATCTTGCAAAAACAATTACAGTTTAATGAGACACACTAAAAGTAATAGTAATAAAGTACTAATTACAATGTTACCTGGCATTCAAAGATTTTGGGGGGATTTTTTTGTTTTGTTTTGCTTTAATTCAGGGCCTCATGCTTGCTATACAGTTGCTCTACCAATTAAGCTACTCCACTAGTCCCGTTCTGGGTTTGTTTATTTCCAATACAGAGTTTTGCATTATGCTTAGTCTGCCTGGACTGGAGCAAGGCACTACACCCAGCCACTGTGCTTCCTCTGTAACTTGGAAATAACAACTGTGTGCCACCACACCGAGCCACTGGATGAGGTGGAATCTTTCAAACTTTTATGCCTAGGCTGGTCTCTAATAGCAATCTCCTTATTTCCACTCTCTAAGTAGCTAGGATTACAGGCTTCAGCCTTTGTGCTCTACTCAAAAATACGTGTGCATGCACGCGTATCTGTGTATATGTATATATATTTTTTGGGTCCGGTTGTGGGGCCTGAACTCTGGGCCTGGGCGCTGTCCCTCAGCTCTTCAGCTCAAGGCTAGCGCTCTACCACTTGAGCCAC